TCTATCTTCAAGAAAATCCGCAATGAAGTCCCAGAATCGTAGATATAAAGTTGTTCTCCTTTTACGGAAGTGTTCTTTTATTTGCATGTGCGCGGGTGTGAGAAAGAGAGAGAGCGACGAACGCAACAATATATATCGACAGTATACGTCGTACGATCAAGTTACGCATTTAATTAATAAACCGCGCGTCTAACAGCGACCGCGCCCCGAACGTTTCGTGCCCGCACACCGCCGCGCGCCCGCTTCGCGGGATATAACTTCTTGTATTTGACCATTATCGAAAGAGGCGAATAAAGAGATTGACTTACACCCAAAATCTATCGTCGTGTCTCACCACTTTCTCGAGCCCTGATCCCGACAGAGCTTATCCGATCTCGCGAAAGCGGCCCGTCACACGATGATAAATCTTTATCATCGACAGTATATCGGTATAATCGATATGACTGAGGACTAAAATTATTTTACACATTTTTCATAATATCATGGAAAATGTGCGCCCTTTAATAAAAAGTACCAAAACAAAAGTTGTAGAAAATTAAATTATCTTTCAAATAAGATCAAAATGATTGTTGTACGTCCCATAGATTTTGATATAACCAGTTTCAAACGTACAAAAAGTGCTTTTGTTACTTATTGTTAGATGCGTTAGATCAGTTTAAAAAAATTTATTTTATTTTCATAAAAGAAAAAGATTTTTATTTTTTATTATTATCGTTTTTTCAAGAAATTTATTAAGTTCCATTTTCTTTTTATTTCATTTTCTTTTCACCTTTTGCTCTTCCTTTGCATCAGAGGTTTTTGAGCGATAACATCTCAAGGAAGCATTTTTCGGCCCATGTTTATAGGAAATTTTTTGTTCAGAATTAAATTTCCTATAAGATCTCAAAGTCTGGCTGGAACGTTCGGGGCCACCCTGTATAAGAAGCGAAAAGTGCCATCAAAAAAAGAAAAAATACATCGCCAGTAATCACAATAATAATTCCTTCGAATAATTTATAAGCTTTCATTACTATATATGATTGGTTGCAATCATATGAAGGAATACCAGATATTGCACACTTTGTCTTTCAAAAATGGAAGTTTCTTTAAATTTCTTCTGGAATAACTGCTTTTTTAATAACCAGAATATTCATGCACAAACCGCATATGATATGAAATATTTTTCAAAGAAATCAGCACACGAATAAAAATCGCCTCTGGGATAAAATATTTTTTTAATAACCAGAGCGCACATGCTTCTGGAATAAAATATTTTTTAAACCAACCAGCACACGAATAAAAATCGCCTCTGGGACAAAATGTTATCTTTTTAATAACCAGAGCACACATTCAAATCGCATCTGATGTGAAATATTTCTTAAAACAACCAGCTCACGAATAAAAATCGCCTCTGGGATAAAATATTTTTTTAATAACCAAAGCGCACATTCAAAACGTTTTTGGTGAGAAATATTTCTTTCGACAACCAGTTCACAAATTGATTACTTCTGGGATATATTCTTCAACCAAAGCGCACATGCAAAACGTTTTTAGTGGGAAATATTTCTTTCGACAACCAGTTCACGAATTGATCGCTTCTGGGATACATTCTTCAATCAAAGCGTACATGCAAAACGTTTTTGGTGGGAAATATTTTTTTCAACAACCATTTTACGAATTGATCGCTTCTGGGATATATTCTTCATCCAAAGCGCATATGCGAAATGTATTTGGTGGGAAATATTTCTTTCAACAACCAGCTCACAAATTGATCGCCTCTGGCTAACTAAATCACCTAAAAAAACCTCACAAAGGTAAAAAAAAATACGCCAAGTATATAAAAAAATCCCAACTTGTACGCAAAAAAAGTTTATTATTTATCCCTAAAAAATAACTTGTAAAAAAATTTTTCCTTGAAAAATAATTTTCATACAAAATAAAAAACTAAAAAATGATTTTTCTCTAAAAAATCAAAACCTTTAAAAAATCAAAAGTCAAAACTAAATATAAAATCAAGTTAACTAGCCAAGTACATAGAAGCAGTTCAGTTTGTAAGAGTTGTTATTACTGTAACATCATACTTCAATGTAGACCATTCTTCAACTGTATGATGTTACAGTAATGCAAAAGTGAATGAATTTGTAGATATAGTTAAATTTAGCTACTTTACGCAATATTTTATTGCCTATATAAGATTCAATAAAATTAACAAATGCCAATTCTACATAAATAAAACTGTACTATAGTATTATGAGGTAATATAACATAAAGTGCCATAGAGGATACCAAAGAAAATAAATGAAGTGCCATAGAAGATACCAAAGAAGATAAAGTATTTTTTATTTTAAGTATTTTTTTTTGTATTATCTTACAATAATAGAGTTTTATTTATATAGAATTGGCATTCGTTTTATTTTTAATAATATAATATAGTTTTTTACTCATGTAGAATATCTAATAATAATAAAGTTTAATAATAATAAGTATAAATCACAATAATAAAGTTTTATTTATGTAGAATATCTCACAATAATAAAGATGCTCGCCGAACAGTGCCGAGCGAGAGTCCTGCAGGAGACATGCCGGCGCGATAAATCGCTATCGTGCCACCTGTGGCGCTTTCGCGTTACGCAGGGCCGTCCTGCGGTCCTCGCGATCCTTGTTGTCATCACGGCCGTGTTGGTGGGTTCATCGCCCCGGAGTTCCCAAGATTTTCTGTTTTTTTGGCTTAAAAGTGCGGGCTTACGGCTGCGCCCGATCGGCCCTCTTTCCTATCTGGTTGGATAGGTTCCGGATTGAGAGTCCGCTCGCAAACGGATTAATAAATTAAAGCGATAAAAATTTTATTGCAATAAGATTCACTTAGAGAATAATAAATACTACGTATGTATACTTTGGCTTTCTTCGCATATGTATAACTAATATTGTAATAGCATGTTGTGCAATGTGATATATAATTATCATAGGTTTTTCTTTTTCTTTAATAATGTAATATAGTTCTACGTATAAAGAAAGCCAAAGTATACATACTATGTATGTATATTGAATTTCTTTTACTTCGACAGTTATTAATCGTTTTTATGTTCATCCGAAGTTAAATGCTTTATGGTCACTTCCCTCTATCTGTGTGCAATGAAAAGAACAGAATTTTAATATTTAATTTAATTTACATATCTGGTTTTATATGTGCTACCGAATGTTTTATATTGTACTTACTGTCTGTTACTGCCAAATCTCTATAACCCAATATGTTACGCTGTTTAGCAAAGTTCTGCGGTATAAGACCGTATGAAATTTCAATCTACTTGATAGGACCAAATATATTTTCTGCAGCAGATTCAAATATAACATTAACCTTATAATGTTATTATATCTTGACGTCGCGAACATTAACCTTATAATGTTATTATATTTTGACGTCGCGATGCTACCGCTTGATACGTATCATATACGTATGCACGCACATACACATTGTCCCTCAAGGCGTATTTGCACACTCAAGCGAATAATCGTACATGAGCGCTGCAAACGGCGACGCTACTGCGTCGCTTGATACTGTGATACAACTACTATTACAAAATAAATATAATCAATTTTCAGTGAAATATACAAATAAGCAAAAGATTAATGATATTTTAATAAATTTAAAGTTACTATTACATATACACAAACATATACACACATGTAGATAATATATAACACACATATAGTATGCTCGGATAAGAAAGAAATGGACAGAGAAGAATGGGCAAAGAGAGAAAGAAGATATGAGTGTAACTGAGCAAGTGTCTGTACAAGTGCCAAAAGTAAGAAAAAATGGAAATAGTTATATCTTTCTCCGTAGCAATACTTTATGCTCACCAATTTTTAGTGACTGATGTGAATTATCAATCGATATATCGTTTTACAGCCATTCTCCCGCTTACTCATTCCTCTCTCTCTCTCTCTCTCTCTCTCTCTCTTCCTCTTTCTCTTTTTGCTCATATCTGTCCATTTATTTATAATAAAAATACTATATGAGTATTAAATACTATGTGCATCATATATAATGTGTATGTTTATGTGTATAGAGTAGTGTTCGGGAGTTGACCTCGAAGAGATCGCCCGAATCTTTAGAAACGCTCAGAGATGAACGAGAAGCTGTGTGTAACGCGAATCCGTAGATCCGCTGGAGGACAAGGAGATTTTAGAAAAGACTTGAGTGCAGATTGTTTTAGATAGTCGTTTTATTTTGAATGATAGGAGCGAGCGACGGCACGTCTTCCGCGACTTCGACGGAAATCTTCAAATTGTCCTGTTAATTACTGCCCTTTTTTCGCGGTTCGGAAATCTTGATTAAGAGCTTCTTGCTAGAAACTCTCGCGAGAGCGGAAATCTTGCACGCGGACGCCGGATGGAATTTGGCGCGAGGCAGCGGACAGTCGCGATGCGGGTAACGAGCGTCGACTCTCGGACTCCACACAATTAACGTTCACAATGTCTTAGCACTATTAAAATTAAATTTCGACCAGCTCGAATCGTTGTCGTAGGCAGACTAAATCGACCGACCGCGGAAACTCGCGCTCTGCCGATGTGAATAACAAGGTTTTTCGGCATCGAATGTTCTACCTAACCTAACCAGGTATTTGTCACGGTTTTTCACTATAAGAATAACGCGATCACGCACCGAGCGGGTGATCGCGACGCTGTTTGTTCTCGCTCGTGTTTTGATTTTTGAGACGATCGTTTGAATATAACGGCGACGTTCGCCGTTGAAATTTAGACCCGAAATTTAATGTTTCAATTTTGAACATACCGCCCGCCTTGAAACGATAGTTCCAAAATAATCGATACAACGATTGCATCAAACGACAAGAGCGCACGCCACAAGTAACAACATGCGCGAAAAAAACGACAATTAATGCGACATGGTTCGACGCGCTGAATCTGCCGCCCGCCTTGGCGGAATAACGTTCGAATCTTGACAATTTTAACTTACATTTAAGGAATGATATTAAATTAAACGCACGCTGCGACGGGGCCTAATTGCTCGTTGCCTCATTATTGACCGGTAGAACGCACAGTTTGACAATCGGTCTTTTGAATTCGGAGGTGGCCGTCTTCACAATGACGACCCGTACGAAGCCGTCGGAGCCGGGGTGACAGCGTGTCACTCGGCCCAACTTCCATTTGCAGGGGGGTAACAGCGGATTAGGCAACAAAACAAGTTGCCCGGTTTTAATCGGCGGCTTGACCTTTCGCCATTTTGCTCTTTGTTGTAAAGTATTTAAGTAATCGTTACTCCATAGCTTCCAGAATCGCTCGGTAACGTGTCGTACGAGCTGCCACCTCGAAAGACGATTTTCATTGAGATCGAGCAATGATGGTTCCGGGTTTACAGTAAGCGCGGATCCTATTAAGAAATGACCGGGAGTTAGACACTCATAGTCCTCAAGCGTATCGGAAAGGGGCGCAATCGGCCTAGAGTTTAGACACGCTTCGATTTTGCATAATAACGTCGAGAATTCTTCGAATGTTAGCATATGATTACCTAACACGCGGCGCAGATGAGTTTTTATGCTCCGTACGCCCGCCTCCCACAATCCGCCGAAGTGCGGGACAGAGAAGGGAATAAAATTCCACGACACGTTATCGGAGGCAGTCAGATTCAAGAAGTTCGGATCTCGTATTGCTGATCGGTACGCAACGGTCAACTCTCGGTCCGCCCCGATGAATGTAGTCCCGTTGTCCAAATACATGGATTGCGGGAGACCGCGGCGAGCGCAGAATCGAGAGTAAGCGTTTAAGAACGCTGGAGTGGAGTAATCGCTTACTAATTCCAAATGTATTGCTTTCGTCGCTAAGCAGATGAATAGCGCGATATATGCTTTCCGCGACGTAATGCCTCGTCCCGCGGAGACCCTAATTTGCACGGAGCCTGCGTTATCTAGGCCGCAATGCAAAAACAGCGTACTGTCGCTGTTACGCGAGATTCGAAAAGATCTCCCATGATTTGTGTGGGAGTCGCGGCTCGTTCGCGAGTACACACAACACATTTATGAATGACAGATTTTACTATATTACGAGCGCGAAGTATCCAGAAGTCGCGGCGCAGAACATTTAGCGTGAGTTGCGGTCCGGCATTTAACGCTCGTATATGAGTTTGATTCACGATCAATGTAACGAGAGGATGAGATGAGAGAAGAATCGGATGTCGAACCGGCATAGGCAACGGGGCTTTGTTAAGCCGTCCACCCACGCGTAGAATTCCGTCCTGATCGAGGAACGGTCGAAGCGAGAAAAGTGAGCTTCTCGACGAGAGGTTCTGATTTTTTGACAACGCGTGTATTTCCGTCGGAGATAAGTCGGCTTGAATTTTCTTAATCCAGAAAATTCTGGCAGTGTTGCAGTCGGATGCAGAAAGAGCGATGCTTCTCGATGCTGGATAATGAAACGACATAAGCGAGACCGACGACGAGCGATTACGACTACATAAACTTATGAATTTGATGATATACGCGGTGACGCGAATTAATTTTGGCCACGATGAATATTTTGATACCATATCCCAGGAGTCACGAAGTTCATTGCGTTGCAACGAGTTAATTTTTTCTTCGAGAGGGGCTTCCGTTGGAAGGTGCGGTTTGTCACACGGCCATTTTTCGTGATCGAAGAGCAGCCATGGATGGCCATGTCACCATAGCTCGCGATTGATAATTTCGTCGCCGAATATTCCGCGCGAAGCGCAATCCGCGGGATTGTCGTCTGTTGACGTGCCTCCATTCAACGTTCGGAAGGCGAGATTGAATGTCACTAACTCGATTGGCCACGAACGTCTTCCATCGAGATGGATGCTGACTTACCGAGTACGATCGTGGAATCCGTCCAACAATAGCATGGGATGTCCCTGTAACCGTTCGATCCGCGAACGAACTCGACAAGTCGCGAGAGTAATACGGCTGCGGATAATTCCAACCGTGGTATACTTACAAGGGGAGGGCCAAGTCGTGCACTCACGGATTTCGCTCAACTTTAAATATGTTTTAGTATTAACCCCCCCACTAATTCATGGACTAGTGGCACGACGCAATACTCAAGCATTCGCGAGAAATTTGCATTAAAAATTTCTCGTGCGCTTTCTATACCGAATTAGCGAAAGAGGTTAGCAGATAGCAGCGTGGCGCAGAGGATAAGGCGGCGGCTTAGAACGCAGCCCGTTGCACGTTCGAGTCTTGATTTTACTAATTTTTTTTTAATTTTTACAGAATATTGCAATAAGTGAACGCATATGGAGTAAAAAAATTATTACTTAATAATTATTAAATTTAATGCTAATACTTTAAATATAATCAAATTTAAAGCAAGAGCTACCCGTGTCCCTACTCCCCTCTACGAGATAGAAAATAACAGTTTCCGCAGGTAGCAGATACAACTGCCTCATAATCGAGTTTTCGGCAACAAAAAAACTTCCGTAGTAGTACAAAAGCACTGACCGGTCATATAATATAATGTAGAAATAAAATCCCTTGCAGAATTTTTAAATTTAAAAATGATTATGGAGTCTTTAATTGTATTGCGAACCGATATTATTCGTATGGTTACAGGCGTTAAAGTATGCGAGTATAAAATATTATATTTAAAGTATTAGCATTAAATTTAATAATTATTAAGTAATAATTTTTTTACTCCATATGCGTTCACTTATTGCAATATTTTGTAAAAATTAAAAAAAAATTGATAAAATCAGGTCTCGAACGTGCAACGGGCAGCATTCTAAGCCGCCGCCTTATCCTCTGCACCACGCTGTTATCTGCTAACCTCTTTCGCTAATTCGGTATAGAAAGCGCACGAGAAATTTTTAATGCAAATTTCTCGCGAATGGTTGAGTATTGCGTCGTGCCACTTGTCTATGAATTTGTGGGGGGTTAGTACTAAAACATATTTAAAGATGAGCGAAATCCGAGAGTGCACGACTTGGCCCTCTCCTTGTTAGAGGTTTTAACGGCGCGACCTTTGATTTTCCGACGAGCAGCGTTGTCGTGATATTGCCTGCTGACGAAATAATTTTGAGATTTACGCATGCGGCATAAGCGTGTGTAGATGCATCCGCAAATCCGTGTATCTCGGTGTGATTTTTGTCCGATCCGAGACCGACCTATCGGATTATTCGCGAATTATTGAGAAATGATAGCCGAGAATAGATGTCTCTCCACTTTGCGATGTGAGGCTCGGAAATCGCGTCATCCCAACTGATTTTAAGTCGCCAAAGTTGCTGCATAAAGATTTTAGCAGTGATCGTGACCGGAGTAACCCATCCGAGCGGATCGTAAAATTTTGCGATTGCGGACAAGATCGTACGCTTGGTCTCCAGCGCGTTATCAGCGAGCGATACGCGAAACTCGAAAACATCGTTCGCCGGCTGCCACCCGATGCCGAGGATCTTTATTTGTTCGTCTTCAGCGAGAGGTTTTTTGGTGGCTAAGCCATGGTCCGCTATGTCGATGTCCGCGAGAAGAGAGAGCGAATTGCTAGCCCATTTCCTCAATATGAATCCGCTGCGGTGTAATATCGAATTTAATTGATCGCGCGCTTGTCGGATCTGAGTTGTATCGTCAGCTCCGAAAAGTAGATCGTCGACATAAATATTGTCGCTCAGGATAGAAACTGCGAGCGGAAAATGCTGACCTTTGTCTCTGACTAATTGTTTTAATACCCAAAGGGCAAGAAATGGGGCACATGCCATTCCATATGTCACCGTTAAAAGTTGATAATCGATAAGCGGTTCCGAGAGCGATCGTTTCCACAAAATCCGCTGATAATTTGTATCGCGAGGATCGACCAGAATTTGGCGATACATTTTCGCGATGTCGGATGAATACACGTATTTATAGCGGCGCTACTGTAATATTACCGACATGAGATCGGTTTGTAATTTAAGACCAGCGTATAAGTGATCGTTTAGAGATGTGCCGTTCAATGTAACGCTCGAAGCGTTGAAAACTACGCGAAGACGCGTAGTTGAACTGCTTTCCCGGATCACCCCGTGATGCGGGAGATAGACAGCTTGTTCTATGTCACCTTGCGGCATCGGCGTTGTCCGCAGATGCCCAAGACGTTCATATTCGGAGATAAAATCGGAATATTCTTTCGCTACCTCGGGTTTATCGTAAAATCTCCGGACTAGCGAATTTAACATGTTTTCGGCGCGATGTCTTGATTTCCCGATGTCAATCGGAACACTCGTTTTGAACGGCAGGCGAACGATGTACCGTCCGTTGGAATCGCGAGAGTGAGTCGAGCAAAAATGCTCTTCGCACTGTTTTTCTTGCGGCGTAATAATTGATTGTCGTGGAAGTTTTTTGACCTCCCAAAAACGACGAAATTCCTCTTCGAGAGAGGGAGAGCTGATCGTGTGATGAGCGGAAATGCTACCGCGAGTGCAATGGACGGAAGTTATTGTCGACTGAAATGGATCGTTACTCTCGAGCGACGTGAACGGTCCCGAGATTATCCATTCGAAAATGGAATTCTGAGTGAAGGGTTGTCCGACGCTTCCTCTGCGAACACCGTCACGAATGATGTCACTATAAAGATCGGCTCCGATTATGAGATCGATAGGATCGGAGCTCGTCGGATCCGAGTCGGCTCGCGGTAAATCGGAGAGATAAGAAAGTGACGGGAGATCCACGTGTCTTCTCGGAGTATAAGAGGTTAGCGACTTTAGAATGAGCGCGGTGGTCGAAAGCGACGGAGCGAGAGATTCTCGATGAGAAATAAATATGTGTGTCGCATGTTGAAATGTCCCCGCGTGAATCCCGCCGACAGCGGGAACGGAGATCGGCATACGAATGCGTTTTATGCGCAAGATTTGTGCTAAACTTTCCCAAATAAATGTCATTTCCGAGCCCTGATCGAGGAGAGCTCGAACGACAGCGGTACGACCGGACGGACTGCAAACTTTTATCCAAGCCGTCGCTAAGAGGACGGGTGAGCGCTTTCGCGTTACGGTTGAGGCGTTTAGCGAATTTACTTCCGCAGTCGTTTCCGAAGTTTGAGGCGCCAAGCAATTAGGCTGTATAGTTTTCGAAGCACTTGAGCTAGAATCCGAGTCAACGTGTAGCATTGAATGATGCTTCTTATGACAAACCCGACATGAATATTTACTTTTGCATTTTTGTGCGGAATGCTTCGTGCTTAAACAATTGAAGCAACATTTTTGTTGCTTTACTATATCGCGACGTTGACTCGCATTTTTGCTCCCGAACGTCGGACATACATTAATAAAGTGTCGCGCTGAACACAACGGGCACTGCGATTGTGCGCTAGTGGATGCGGTTGCGGCATGAACTCGCGAGGCTGCGATTGGTTTTACACTGGTTTTAACGGTTGACCCGGGAGCGGATGCCATTAACGCGCGAGTGCGAGACAGTGATGCCAGAATTGAGACGCGAGCAACATACAACCGAGGTGGAGGGGATAACGCACACAAGCGCAAACCGCGTACGTGTGAGCTCGGTGCTTCGGCTAGCTTCGGATAGTAGAAGAGGACAGATATACAGAGTGTCCTAGACCATCCGTACACCCCTTTTCTTTCAAAAACTAAGCATTTTAGAGAAAAACGTTTTGAACAAAAATTGTATGGTTTTGAGGGGAACATAAGATGGTGTCATTGGTTTGACCTTGGATGGCATCGTTAAGGTCAAGTCAAAAACACCTTTAATTTTTTAAATGGAATTCCCTATTTTTTATTACATATTCT